GCCAGGTGAACAGGGCAGCTGTGGCCCGGGCCGATTCCTGCCGGCCGGCGCCTCGCAGCGTGACCGGCGTTGGCTCGCCGAGCGTGGCGACGCCGCGGACGTCAGCATGCTGGGCGCGGCGATGCCGGCCTACCGTCAGTGCAATTACCAGGGCGCCGGGGCCCAACGGAACATCGGGCCGGTTCTCCCGCTCAGCAGGTGTCTGGGCGTTGTGTGGGCCTTCCTCAAGGCGCCTCACGGTGCAACATACATCACCCATACATTGATGGGGCCCCTACTCGGGCGGCATGTGCGTAGCAGGCACTGCCAAAACGGACTTACCATTTGCGGGGAGCTTATAAGTACCATTGGATAGGAACCAGTACTGTATTTCGAGGCACGGACCGAACAATGCAATAACCGACGTGAGTTATCGTCATGTACGCGCTAACCTCTCAGAACAAGAATGGGGCCAGTGCGCTTGAACACCCGTATAAATGGGTCTTGTCAACTGATCATTGGCAATGTTCATCCAACCTTAGCAAGCAGAAATGAATTGATGCAAAGCGTTCGTGCACCCACTGACGGATGACACTGCTAAACCCTGGCCGGCCTTGGGCTTGACAAGTCTAGGATTTTTAGCTGACCAATCAATCGATTCCTTGACGTTTTCTATAACTGTGGCCAGCGTTGATGAGTTCGGCCAGACCAGCACTGACGTCATAGCCCAAGCCATCTCGCTTCAGGCACCAGCACGCGACATCCGAGACGGGGTCTCGAGAAGGCGATAATTGCCGTTCCCTGGTCAGCTAATGACGTTGGTCTGGGTGGTACAGCGTTGAGCTCGTATGCTGTTCAGGAGACAGTACGCACATCTGCCTGCTACTGTTCAGGAGACAGTACGCACATCTGTCTACTACTGTTCAGGAGACAGTACGCACATCTGCCTACTACTGTTCAGGAGACAGTACGGACATCTGCCTACTACTGTTCAGGAGACAGTACGCACATCTGTTTACTGCTGTTCAGGAGACAGTACGCACATCTGTTTACTACTGTTCAGCAGACAATACGCACATCTGTTTACTACTGTTCAGGAGATAGTACCCACATCTGTTTACTACTGTTCAGGAGACAGTACGCACATCTGCCTACTACTGTTCAGGAGACAGTACGCACATCTGTCTACTACTGTTCAGGAGACAGTACGCACATCTGCCTACTACTGTTCAGGAGACAGTACGCACATCTGTTTACTACTGTTCAGGAGACAGTACGCACATCTGTTTACTACTGTTCAGGAGACAATACGCACATCTGTCTACTACTGTTCAGGAGATAGTACGCACATCTGTTTACTACTGTTCAGGAGACAGTACGCACATCTGCCTGCTACTGTTCAGGAGACAGTACGCACATCTGTTTACTACTGTTCAGGAGACAGTACGCACATCTGTTTACTACTGTTCAGGAGATAGTACGCACATCTGTTTACTACTGTTCAGGAGACAGTACGCACATCTGTTTACTACTGTTCAGGAGACAGTACGCACATCTGTTTACTACTGTTCAGGAGACAGTACGCACATCTGCCTGCTACTGTTCAGGAGACAGTACGCACATCTGTTTACTACTGTTCAGGAGACAGTACGCACATCTGTTTACTACTGTTCAGGAGACAGTACGCACATCTGTTTACTACTGTTCAGGAGACAGTACGCACATCTGTTTACTACTGTTCGGAGACTACGCACATCTGTTCTACTGTCTAATATCTATCCTACTATCTCTTACTATCTCCTCAACTGCCGAGATCCAACATCAATCCCAAACAACACAGCCCAGCGTCGCCGAAGCCAGGGTATGCTCTAGAATGTGGATGCCCGACTGAAGACATCGACCCTAAATTTGCCAGCGCGTTGCCCGTTCTCGCTCCCATCGAACGGCATCAACTTTCTCCACGTGGCGGGCTCAGCTCGGCGAAATCCGGGCCTGGCTTCGGCCAGTGGTCTCCAAGCCTTCTCCCAGTTTGCGAACTGGAAGCCTTTCATTTTAGACGAATGGAATTCCTCATGCATTTCAATACTGCAGGATACATTTGTCTGGCTAAAACGACGTGTGCGCACAAACGTTCATAATAGCAACGCTTAACTTCTACGCAAGTGTACCCCTTTATACTAGCACTGCACCTGCATGGCGGCACGGTCGGTGCTTGCCGGCACATCAGCCGGCCAAGGGCGTGACCGGCGCGACCGGCCGGGCCGTCGAGACCAGCACATTCCTGATAAACGGATTTAGATAGGACCGGCTCGCCCCGCGGCCTTGCCCGTAATCATTGTTACTTCTCAATATGCACCAACGTCAACACAAATGTTATCCATACACTCGTAAAGCGGGCAACAGCATGCGCGGTGGTGTAGGAACGCCCAAAAACGGCAGGCAAACACCTGGTCCTGAGCGTTATCTTGTTATACATCACCACAGGGTCAATGTCACACCTTCATCAAAGATAGGTGTGTGTGTGGGGGGGGGGGGAATGTCGGCGGCACAACTGCCTCCCCACCTGACGCGTTCTCCCCTGTTTTCCATTAGACGAACGGACGGAACAACCGCGCCCAGCACCCAATTAACGACTGACAACAGCCGCTCCAACGTTGTGTCAGCATGGGAGTTGAAGACGCCACAGCCAGCATCATCACCCCCACCACCGCCTCCACCCCGCCGGCGGGTCGCCTGCAGAGTCGCAGACGTGCGGCGGCGCGTGTCTATTGGGGCTGCTGGGGAGGGAGAGGGGAACCAGACCGGCGGTCTGG